TTTGGATCTATGATTCATTTGGAAATAATGTTTGTGTATAGTATGCAGTAGGGGTCAAATTCATTCTTTAGAATTTTTTTAGTAAAGATCTGCTAAGAGAAAACTTCATTTTTGTTTGTAAATATCTTTATCTTATTTTTAAATTGTGTTTTGAAGGATATAGAATTCTAGATTGGGAAATTTTGTTTTAGCACATTGATGTTTACTTCATTGTCTTCTGGCTTCAACTATTTCTGTTGTAAAGTGAGCTATGAAACTCCTTTGCAGGTAATCAAACTTCTTTTTCCTTTTTATCTCTGTTCTGTGCCACTTTGACATATCTGTGTGCAGATTTTTTTTTTTTTTTCTGATCCTGCTTGAGATTCTCTGGGCTCCTTAAATGGTTGCCTTCTATCAATTCTAAAAGATTCTCAGCTGTTACGTTTCCATTGTCTCTGCCTCCTTCTCCCTCTCTTGTAACCCTGATGACATATGTTGAACTTGTTGTATCCTCTGTCTCTTAACCAGTTTCACTTTTCCCAGTCTTTACCTCTGTGTTACATTCTGTAATTTCTTAAGAATTGTGACCAAATGCATCTGGGAAAGGACTTCTATTTGTCCTGGTCAGCATGGCTCAGTGGTGAAGCATCGACCCAGAACCAGGAGGTCATGGTTAGATTCCAGGTCAGGGCACGTGCCTGGGTTGCAGGCCCAATCCCCAGTGTGGGATGTGCAGGAGGCAGCCGATCAATGATTCTCTCACCATTGATGTTTCTCTCACTCCCTCTCTTTTACTCTCTGAAATCAATAAAAATATAATTTAAGAAAAAAACAAACTTGTTTGGTTCTTCTAGAAATGAAAATTACTTTTTAAATCCAACCAGTGGGTTTAACAGATTAGACACAGTTCAGGAGAGACACTGTTTCAAACTAGAATACAGGTCAGAATGTTCGCTTCCACTGAGTCACTTGGGGCAGAGCCATTTCAGGGCCACGTTAACCAAATCCTCGCCTTTTTCTGGGGGACTAGTTTTTTGACTAGTGTGATTTGTGTTGCAAAACATAATAAAATTCACTGACTTGTGGTTACAAACTATCGGGGGTAAAATTGTCCTCATCTTCATTTGTACTGAGGTTCAAAACACGCCATTTTTTTAACCTTGGTAGGGTTGGGGGTGGAGTATTTTAGTTCAACTTTACTGTTATGCAGAGGGTGCCAGCTTTATGCCCGGGGCCTCCCATTTGACCCTTCTGAAGCAGGCTCTTCTCTATCCTCAGGGTAAAAGCCATTTTCAGAGTGTCCCTAACCCTCTGGGTTCCTACCTCCACTTGGACTTTTTAAATTTTGCAAAACATCTATTTATTTCCACAGGCCAGAACTCGGTCTTCCACACTTCAGACACGGACAGGTGCACGACTCTCTTACATCCTTGACGTCATTTCCTCCCCACGTTACTGCTGATCTGTACCCGAGGGTCCTGGTTGAGGGGATCTTTGTGGGGTGTTTGGCAGCTCTTCACCTTCCTCTCAGTATCATGACTTCCCTTTTGGGAGTTAAGATAGAAATGGTGCCCTAGCTGGTTTGGCTCAGTGAATAGAGTGTTGGCCTGTGAACTGAAAGGTCCCAGGTTCGATTCCGGTCAAGGGCACATGCCCGGGTTGTGGGCTCTATCCCCAGTGGGGGACTTGCAGGAGGCAGCCGATCCATGATTCTCTCTCAGCATGGATGTTTCTCTCTTTCTCTCCTTCTTCCTCTCTGAAATCAATAAAAATACATATTTTTTAAAAAGATAGAAATGGTGTTGACATAATCTGAGGTTACCACCCTGTGAGTGGGTAGTAGGTTTTTCATTCAGAAGGCAGTTTAACTCCCCAATTTGTGCAAATGTTTACACACTGGTTAAGTTTAACGCGCAGTGACTCTTTGGTAGCGTTGGAGTGTTTGTGTGGGCCAGGGCTTCCGCCGTCCTTTGGGAAGGGCACTTGCTTCATGTTTCCCAGAAGTGCCTGCTCTCTGCAGGAGGTGCGGCTTTCAGTGCCAGCAGAGGTGCCACTGCACGTACCCATCTACCCCCACTGCTGCTCAGGACCCAGGAGCATACTTCCTGCCGCATAACATTACAGCAGCCCATGAGATGGAGAGCGTTGTAATTCCACTTTCATCACGAGAACATGGAGACATAAAAATGTAAAAAGCTTGTCCAAGGGCACTCTGCTGGGAAGTGGGAACTGGAACTCTTACATTTACAGGTGTACAGGTTAATAATGCGGATTCTTTTCAATTGATGGAGTTAGACATATGTTGATATATATGCGATTTGATATGTATGCTACTTTGTTGTATTGACAGCAAGCTTCAAAACTTCATATATCAAATTTTCTGAAGGTGTTAACATTATAGATATTTTTACGCTTAAAAATGTCAAATTTCATGTCAAAAAAAGAGCATTTGTGGGAAGTCTTAATTCATTACTCTATTTTGAAGAAAATGCTGCTGAATACTACAGGAAGCTTATGGTGAACACGCTCCATCTCAAGATACTTGTGAATGCTGGTTTAAACTCTTTAAAAGTGATGATTTTGATGTGAAAGACATCATCCAGGTGAACCGAAAAAATTTGAAGACAAGCAATTACAAGCATTATTGGATGAAGATGCATGTCAAACTCAAAAACAACTTGCAAAAAGATTAAACGTTGCTCTGCAAACAATTTCCG